TTTCTCCTAAACCTATTGGTGAAAAATTAGTTGTCTTTTTTTTTTGAGATTATCAATCTGCAAATGCAGGAAATGTAAGCAAAATGAAGACTTCAAAGTTATAAGATCTCTTAATTTATATTTGCAATGGACTTTCTCTCCAAGTGTTATTTGTTACATGAGAACAAAAGAAATCACCATGTGTTTTTTTCTCTTTCTTTCTTTCTTTTTCTTTTTTTTAAACTAAAAATAACTATTTTACCTTCTCCCTGTGTATGTTGTCTGGGTTTGACTCTAACTCACTCGGGGCATACCTTGAACTTTTAACACTCTTTTTCAAGCTCTAATGCTAAGGAAAAAAAGCACAAAACTAGACCCTGGCTAGTAGATTGGAGAACATCACACAGATGCCTGCCTGTCCCTCTGGGGTTAAGGATCAGTTGTCAACATCAGGGTCAGCCCATATGATTACTGTGTTGCTGGGAGACTCACCTTGCTCTCCAAGTTCAGACTTTAGGGCTGTACAGCGCATGCCGTCCTATCGCATCTATTTTTGACTAAATATCTAAAATGTGTAGGTAAATTTTAGGGTTTTGTGTTTTTTTTAATAGTAGGCATGTACAACTAGTCCTTTGGACCAGTCATACGTGTGCTGGTACTAGCGTGCGTCTCTTTCAGTTGGATATTTCAAGATAAACTGGAACTCTGGAAGGATATGATTGGCGGAAAGGGGCTGTGATCCTGTATCAAACAAACTGGAGAAAAACAGAGTATGGGAACACTCCTTCGGCGGCTTAGTGTTTTCTGACTTTTGAATGAAAGGAAACTTTGCAGCATGTAATTCTATGAAGATTGCCGGAAACAAAAAAAAGTAGGAGCACGCTCGTCCTGGGGGAGGGGCGTGAGGTCTGTGCTTGTCTAGCTCCCATCATGTCCGACTTAGTCATATGAACTGCAGCTGAAATGTTCGTTTTGAGTGATCCTGTGCCTCCTACCAAGGGAGAAAATAGTAAGATCTTTTCGCCTTAGCCAGTGGTTCTATATTAATTCAGCAGCTATAGAGCAAAGTTCAAATTGACATCATGTTTTAAAAGGACACCTTATCTATGGAATACAGACATTTCAACAGGTACCGTTATCCATCAAGCCTGATGCTAACTTTTTATTGAAGTGTAAAAGGGATCTTAACATTTTTGTCTGTTAACTTTGAGTGGGTGAGAAACATGTTGGTAATAAAATGGAAACACCAAGGAAATAAAGGGCCGAGGTTGACACGTCTGTGGCCCTCACCCCATAAGTAAGTTTACAAATCTGATTATGAAGAGTGTTGGCTCTCACCCTTCAGAACAGTCGCATTTTAGCCCAGGATGTGATTCTCATCATCCTGTGCACGTTTCGTCAGTTAGGTGTGCGTGGATGCAGGTGTGATGCAGCATTTTAACATGCACTCTTTTATTGTTAAATGCATGCCCAGCACATCCTTTCTAGTGTGACGTTCAAACAAATGTAGCTCAAGGTGAATTTCTACCTGGTGAAGTCAGTCGGTTTAAAATGTGTGACAAAGAACCCCAGGAGGAATAAGACTATGATGTCCCATTTTATTGTCTCTGAACTTTGGAGTTTTAATCAGACTCTTGCATTGTGTAAAAATAAACCAGAGGATGCAAAAGTGCAACCAGTCCTATGGCTGCTGTCAGATTTGACGTTCATTCCGCTGGCGTTGTGCTTGTTGGGCTTGTTTTTCTCCTCTTTCAATGTTTTCCTTTCCTTCCCCTCACTCCAGAAATACGGCGAGTGGTTTTAACACCGTCCACTCACACTTTCACTCTGGGAGTTCATGCAGAGGACAGGCGGCCGAGCACCAGCAGCGGGCCAGCCCTCTCCCGCGCCCCCCACCCCGCTGCAAATGCCACCTTCCCTGTGCATTCCTGCTCCCCAGAGGCTCTCTTAGTCTTGGCTGCAGGGGCTTAACTCAACCCACTTTGACTTTGTCTTGACTGCCTATCTTATAGGCAAAGTTGCCAGAAATAACTGTGTGGTCGTGTTTACTGCTCACCTGTTTGCCATTATTAGAAATCATTTTTATAGATAGGAAATCATAAAACCAGGCAGAACTTTTGCGGGCATTTAATTCCACACCCTCATTTTACAGACACCCCTCCCCCCCCCAAAAAAAGACCTTTCCATAAAACTGTGTAAGTACAGATTTTACTCCCTTTCCCATAAAAACACGCCAGTTGTTGATGAAATGCTGTCAACATATAATTCTTCATATTCAGGAATCAATTTATGTAATAGGTTTAAAGAATTTAAAAATTTCGTTATGTGAGTAGGTAAAGGAAAAATAACTTTTTATTATATACAGCATATTTTGGTATAATACGTGTCATTGCTTTAACTGGATATCCATATGTTCTGACAATATTACAAGATTTAAGTTAAAAATCCAAAATTTCTAAATTCTAAGAAAAATGCTGCACTCACAAGTTATGCAACTTGTAGCATGACCTTTCAGAAGGTTTATGTGTAAGAACTTCTGTGGCTTTCTTCACATTTACCATTTGAAATGGCTTTTTTAATAGCTGAATTCTCTATATTTTTGTTTGTCAAGTAAGCAGGCAGATGCTTTTGCCTTTTAAAAAAAAAGTACCATAATAAGCATGCCTCCTGCTTACTTCATCAGCTACAGAAAATTTTCCTGGCTTATCCTGTTGGAAGGTGATTCACCTGAAGCTTTGTTCCCGAATTAGTAACGTTAGTAACATGGCAGCATCTCATTTAGCAAGTGGTGCTTCCCACCAATTAAACTGAAAAAAGTCTCTCGCTCTTATTCAGATGCGAACTTAGGCTTTCAGCTGTCAGCGGGAAAATGAAACCATCACCAAGGGCTGTTTATTTCACTGGCAGGTTCATGCCTACGACAAAGTGACAAAGTGATTTTCCCCCAGGTGAATTACTCCCTCACATTGGCGTGGCAATGACTAATAAGGTGTTTATGAAAACTACTTAAGTGTGTGTGGTCCCTGTCCCCACCGTGTGTCACTGCTGCCGCCAAGCGACAGGTCTGAAAAATCAGCAAATCTGAAACAATCAGAGCATCATTCCTTCCCCAAACTGAGGCCCCTGCTACCTCCCAGACAAAGACGTTCTCCTCTTGTGTGATGAGAACAAGCACACTCTCCTAAGTCACACTTGACCCATGTGGGCGTCCTTCGAATTCTTGGCTCCTGAGAAGAGAATGACATGGGTGGTTAAGAAAATAATTTCTTTCCCCGAACTATCTAATTTTAGGGTTGAGGGAGTTTTTAAGTTTAGTTGGGTTCATGTCTCACAACCTCACACAAAATCATACTATGCTACACAGGAAGGGGAGTTCTCTGTCTTAAATATCCATTAGTCACACCCCACACTTGTAACTCTTGGGGAACATGCAAGGACTCGGGGACATAAGCAAAGACTGTTCCCTTGCGCAGCCTCATTCTTGAACTGGGCTAAGAGCTTTTCAATTGCTGTGACATTTTCAGCCAGGGAAGTAGTTTTCGTGGCCGAGCAATGTTTTACAGGCAATTACTTTATATGATCAATGGAGCAATTCCCCTTCCATAAAGGAACCAAAGCGATCAAGTTAAATCATTAAAGAGAGTAAGGGAGAGCGGGAGAAAGGATTCATCTCATTAGCAGGTGCTGCAGGCTCGTTGGTGGCGCACAATGTCACTGGCCCTTTAAGACAATGGCTGTGCTCCCTCCAGCACCGCCACCCCCCCTCCCCTGTAGCTGTTGACAGGTCTAAACCTCCCTAGCAGCCCATTGTGGCCGCAGTAGGAGGCACCTGCAGAAAATGTGCCAAAACCAGGCGGGGAGCAAGAGCTTTTCAATAAGCCCCGCAGCTGGAGAGGGGAGGCAACACCAAACAAGCAGGCGCGGAGCAGGCATGTGATGGGAAAAGGGGTCAGAGCCAGACACCTCCTATCGGCTTTCTGAGCACCGTTTGCTTCAATTTGCTGACATCTTCTAGCTGGCTTTTCTCTATTTGCTTAATATGCTGAGGTATTTAGCTTAAAAGCACTAAATGCTCCATCACCGTGAGCTGCTCTCTCTTCCTTCCCATTTACTGTTATTAAGGACGTTTTCCAGTATTTGCTCTTGCTTTCTGCCCCAAACGAAGATTGTTTTCTTTTCCTTCTCTTCGTGACCAGTTACAGGCATCCTCCAACCGCACACTGCCCGCTTGATTTTACTCATCTTTAAATCAGGGGCAAGTAAAACGCTCCAAAATCAGGATGTGTGCTGCCTTCCCAAAGCGCACATCCCAACTGCTAGAAGCACGAGTAAACATTTATTGTGCGTCTTTTACTGTGTACCCACCGCTCTTCTCAGGGCTTCCAGAAACCTGGAACCCGACAAGGCATGCTTCCCCTCTTGTATTGTTTAGGATCCAGCAGAGAGGCTCAATAACTAATATCATCATGGGTTTTAGGAATTTGTTTTGCAAGCATGCACTTTTCTTTGTGTTGTAGGACTCACAGCCCTTCCGAGGATAAGCAGGAGTGGAGGTGGGGGGACAGGGAGGGACCTGGGATGTGCTTGCTGGTTGGTGTAGTGGCTTTGTCGAATGTGCCTTGCCTTGGGAAGCAGAGGACAGATTCCCAATTTCATCTCTCCCAGATAAATAATAAATGGGGACCTGGCATAGTTCCTCAGTTTCGTCTGCTCTTATTGGTCTGCAATCCCTTACCTTTACACAGCGCTTTCACCTTCTCATGGTATCTCCATCTTTTTTTTTCTCACTGAAAGTAGCAAGGCATTATCTGTGTCTTACAGATGAAAACATCTGAGACCCAGGGCCACGCAGGGAGTAGGTGGTAAGGGCAGAGGCCTGCCAGGAACCCTGTGCCGCCCACCTAAACCTTACCTTGTACCCCGCGCTGCCTCTTCAGCTGTCAAGCAGCACGATTTGAGAGCAGCGTGGAAACACACTCACAGTGACATTTTCACAGTGAAACTCTTTCCCCCTCTTACAGATGGAGAGTGTTGGCGTGTACGGATTCTGTGGGTGTACAGCAAAGAGCAAAATGAAGTGTGATTCAAGGCGGGAAGCAACTGCTTCAGGTAGGAAATGAGCTAATCTGTGTACGTATCAAACCGGCGTCTGACATGGTTACCCCTAGAAATTCATTCCTTTGGAGAGGGACTAGGTACCGTAAAGTGGGTACATGTAGACTTAAGTACACGTAAGATACTGGCTAGACTGCTGCAAAACATCAGCGTGTTCAGAATGCCAACAAATGGGTAGAGGTGTGAATGAAAGTGTATTTCAGAGGCCCGGAGTCAGAAAACAAATCATATCCCACCCACCCAAAGCTCAGAATAGTCGCTGTCCATGCTCACAGGCGCGGCTTGTGGAGGGGACCTGGCGATCTAGCCCACTGGGCTGCTCGTCACCCTGCGCTGCTCGCCTGGCTCTGGGGGCTTGGATCTGTCCGGGCCCCACACTAAAGCAGGAAGAGGTGGTCTCTCTGCCCCTCTGGGCTTGTTTATGCTTTAACATGTCTCTCCTCTCAGAGGACTGGTCCTCTTCTTCCGGCTTCCCCAGCGCCTCCCTCCAATTCTGGGGAAAACAAGCGGACTATTCATGTAAAAAGAGAAAGAGTGCGGGGGAGGGGGATGCCACCGACAAACTCCATTGAAAGCCACTGGCTGTTCATTTACATTCACACTTTTAAAAAATGTTAACTAATGATGTTAAATGGTTTGCCAAAGGTCCTGGCAGGTCAGTTGTAGAAGTGTCATTTCTGCCTAATTAGGGCTCTTGTGACTGCCCAGGGCCTCCCAGTGCAACTGGTGACAAGCCGAGAGCTGACAGCTTCAATTGGCGCCAATAGGAAGGTTGGAGTGGTCATGTTTTCCAACTCAGCCAGGTGTTTGCTGAATGGGGGAGGGGGCCTGGTGAGATCTGAGCGCTCCTATGATCCTTTTTCTTTCACTGCTCCCTCGCAAGTCCTTTGCCTTTGCCTGTCTTGTCCTGTGTCAAGGTCAAGAATGGGCTTTGCTAAATCAGCAATTTGGGTTATCTGTCTCTGGGAGGTCATTAGCAATCCCCAGCCCAGACATTTCAAGTGGTCTCAGACCCCAGATGCTAGATTTTTTCTGCTTCCTAAAAATCAGAGCGTCGGAAAAGAAAAGGAAAAGTTTTAGGTGAAAAACAATAGTAGGCAGAAAACAAAACACAACAAAAAAGTAACCCAGAAAACTCTGCCTAGCCACCAAAGTGTTAAACTTCTGAAGAGACATTCATAATAATCAAATTACTTGAAGAGAAAAACAGCTAAAGCATCCCGATCAATGCTTTAAATATTTTAAAGAAGAAAAGACAATAATAAAAAAATCCTATAGTGTTCAATTGGCAATAGAGTACCTGTCACATAGTGGGTGCTCAATAAATAATTTATTGTTTGATTTGATTTTTTTCAGGAGAAATATTATTGTCTGAGAAACAAAGAGTGATTGATAGAGACCCCGCTACTTCTCATGCTTACTTTAATTGTTTCCACAATGCTCTTTGAATTTCTCAGTTGACCATAAAGCACATGCTAAGTTAGAGTACCACATGATGGGTTGATATGATTAGCTTGTTTTCTGTTTTGATTTTTTCTACTTTTCTTTGTTTCTGTTTTTTTTTTTAAACAACTTAATATAAGCAATATACCACTGGTGTTCTGCACCCCAATTACAACGCAAAGAGACACTCCATGACAAAATGATAGGATGTCTGTGTCCAGAATTTGGATTTCACATACTGGCAGGTCCTGCAGGGGTGACAGCACGCTGTGTTTGTGCCTGAATTGAACACCAGCACTCGAGCACACACAAATACACATGCGTATACCGAGCGGGCTTAGTGAGTGTTAGACAAGGAACAGCAGGGTTAATACACGGGCATTTGGGGGCACTGCAGTGTTAAAAGGGAAAGGTGCACTGAAGAAAGCAATGTTTGTTTTATGAAAATCTAAGATCATACCCCAAAATTATAGTTCTGGGAGAGGCGAAGGGAGATTCAAGTGATGGGGGTCTGTCTGAAACTATTATAAGTTTTGGGCTTTATTTTCCTCACTCAGTGACTGACCGTTGCCTCTGTTTTCTCTAATATGGGACAATGAAAATTGGGTCAGAAAAATAGACTGTTCATGTCTGTTGGTTTTATCAAAGGAGTGTTGTGAAGATTAAATGAGACAGCCTATGTCGCCCTGGGACAATACCTGGCATCTATCAGGAGCCCAGTAGCAGTGAGTTCTCTTCCTGCTGTCCCTGAGTCCTTCATGGTTGGAGTGCACGTGCTGTTCTGTGGTGTCAAGTTATTTTCTCAACACCCAGGACATTTTATGAACAAAGAGAATTAATGGAATTGGCGAATAGGTTGACCGCATGGATCATAAGTGAACAGATGACTCTAGACTTACTCAAACAGTTTAGTTGCCCGTCTTAAACTTTTCAGTTCCCTGTCTCAAACTTTTCCCTCCAGGGATCCCCTTTGTCACTAAATTCCCTTAAAAGATGTGCTTTGCATTTTTGTCCCTCCCTTTCATGCCACGGCGCATGTTCTTTTTCCTCTTCTTCCGTGACCTTCTTTGTTTACTGGTTACTGCTGTTATCCTGGGACGTGATTTCGCTTCCAGTCCCAGCACTAGCCCCGCCCTTGGCCCCGCCTCCCACTTCCGCTGCCTTCTCCCAGCCCTGATTTGCAGAGCTGCCCCTGCTGTGTGTGTATTTGGGGGGTGAATAATTGCTGTCTGGCTCTTACGCATGCTGAGCAATATCCACCTGTGACCCTCCTTGTGGTTAGGAGATACGTATTTAAGATCATCCTGAAAGATAATAGTGATAAAGAAAACCTGCAGCAACTAAACCAGCCTAGGAAAATAAGCCAATTAGTTATTAAACCTCAAACAAATGAAAAACTTTTGAAGACTTGTGAACAGAGGGAAGAACATGTGAATGACAATAAATCCTCTGCTTTGTGTCATTCATATTCTGCAGTGGCATTTGTGATAACTGATCACCACGATAGTGACCCTGGAAGGATGGAATTATGTTCAGTTGGACATTACTTAAACCTTTCTGAAAGGCAAACCTGATTTTGTTTTTCTGTTGTTTCAGGCTTTTCAGTGGTCCCTTCAGATCTGGCTCTCGCTTCTCTTTGACCTTGAGACCTTGCTCTGGTTGTGCTGGCCTGCTGGCACGTCTCTGGACATGCCAGGATGTTTCTGCCTCCAGGCCTTTGAACTAACTCTTTTTTTTATACTTGCAATGCCTTTTGTCCCTATTGTTCTTCTCACAAACACCTAGTCATCATGCCACCTCCTCCCCAAAGCTTCTCCTGACACCCCCCAGTTAGGTTGACCTTTCTCTCTTTTTTGCCCTGACCACAAAACCTCACATTCTTCTCAGTAACAATAATAATTGTAATAGTAAAAGTTCCCTCTTACTGAGTGCCTTCTGTGTGCCAGTAAGTGTAAGTGCTTTTACTTGTTATCATTTAATCCTTGCCACCCCGGGCAGGAGGTGCCATTGTAGACACCCCCTTTACCCCTTTACCACGAGGACCCTGAGGCTCAAGTTGCATATTTAAGGTCACACAGCTTGAAAGCAAAGGAGCCTGAGCCCAGCCAGCATGGCTCTGCTATACATATTAACCACACTCAATCTAGAACCATCAGACTATGCTGCCTTTCAGACATACAGATCATAAAATAATAAGAATGATATCTATCTGAGAAAAGGGCTATAAGGGAAGTAGGGCAAAGTCAAGGGCAAGGTGACTTCACACATGCACCCCATGAGGGCTTGTGGGATGCACAAGGCGTCTCTCAGTCTCCTCGTAGCAGAAGAAAGACACACGGTCAACTACAAGTAGGCAGGAGGCGATAGGCGGGAGGGGGAGCAGGTCCCAGCGTGGCCTCCACCGTCTCCCCTGCGGGATTTAGAGATGTCTTGGGGAAATGAGTTGAGCTTTCCAGGAATCTGTTCACATAAGGGACCAAGTCACCGCCCAGGAAATCCCAAGATAGTCCAGAGTGAAGCTTTATTTGGAGGAGAGGGTAATTTTGAGTACTTCACAATGTCCTGTCACTCAGCCTGTCCCTCATCTGCCTACTGACTAACGGGCATGAGCAAACACCGACCAAAGCTCCTAGCTCCCCCACTTGCCTCCTGACCCTGAGAGCATAATGGGAGCCAGGCCAGCTCCCCAGGGTGTTGACTTGGGCAGTAGCTCCAGCGATGTGACAGCAGCAGCAGCAGCAGAGGCGGTGAGCCCGGCGCTGGCAGTGTTGGTGGCACTTGCATGATGGCGGTGGCACCAGCACTGGCGGTGGCGGTGGCACCAGCACTGGCGGCGCCTATACCAGCGGGAGGTGGCATCACACCTTCGAAGTGGACACAGCAGCATCGCAGTGGCTGCAGGGGCCAGTCAGCTTTAGGGAGTGTGGGAGGCAGGCGGCTAGAAGTGGCCCAGGATGGGCTCTGCCTGCAGTGGTGAAGGCCCTGCGGCTCTGGGTGACAGAAGCCTGGACGATGGGAGGCAGCAGAGAGGCTCATCCAAGGAGATATTTGAGTCTCCCCTTGAGGAAGACTTCTCCAATATTGCTGGTGGGAGTTGGAGCCAAAGAAAATGCTCTTTATGGTGTTAAAATGACCCCATTTTTTTCCCTTGTGGTAGAGTGACCTGTGAAGAAATGAGTGACATAAGATTTAGAGCATTTGTAAGATTAGAACCAACCAACTGGGTAAGAGAAGCTCACTCAGTTTTTCCTAGCGTGGGTGGTTGAGCACACATTCATTCACTCATTCATTTGTTCAGTTATTCATTCAACAAACATCTGGAACCTTTGCTGGAGCGTGAAGTCAGATTATCAGGATCTGAGTCTTCCTCTTGGTAGTCTGTGATCTTGAGAAAGTGATGTGCTGTCTCTAAACCCGTCTCCTCACCTGTAATATGAAATGTGAGTGATATTAAGTACCATCTCATTAGGTTTTAGGAGAATCAAATGCATGTGGAGTGTTTAGCACAGTGCCTGGCACAATTAAGCACCCACTAAATGTGAGCTCTGGTT